AACTCTGCAAATCTTCTTGGGATGCTTATGACTCTTTGTTGCCTCTGAACTGGACCTTCAGAACTTTAGATAGCTGAACATTCCTCTTCAGAAGAACTTGCTTCCGAAATTGGTCTTTCTCCAGAACCTTGATTGTCTTAAGAGTCTGGATCACCATCGGAGTCAGAGTCAGAATCATCTTCTCCTTCTGTATCTTCTTTAGAGTCAGAGTCTTTACCAGCTTCAAAAACATGTGTTTCTGACTTTTCTTCAAGAGTTCTCTCATCAGAGTCAGGACGAGACCTTTCCCAATTCCAAACTTCTGATTCCTTTACAATAACGTCTCTGCTGAACTCAACTTTGTTAATTTCTGGACAATAAAGTTTGTACGAACATGTACTGTGGTACCCCACCAGCAACATCACTTTACTTTTATCATCCAACTTCTATCTTCTGGCTTCTGGGACATGTTTGTAACATACATTACCAAACATCTTCAGATGACTAACACTTTGCTTATCTCCAGTCCACTTCTGAATAGGAACTATTTCCTTCAATTTCTTTGTAGGACATCTGTTGAGCACATAACATACAGTTGCAACAACTTCTCCCCACAGAGTATAAGGAAGTTTCTTCTCTTTCAGCATGCTTCTCACCATATCAAGCAAAGTACAATTTCTTCTTTCAGCAAGTCCATTCTGTTGAGGAGTATAGGGAGCAGTAACCCCGTGCTCAATTCCATTCTCCTCATAGAACCTTCTAAATTCTGTGGAGTTATATTCACCACCACCATCAGTTCTAAGAATCTTCAGCGTCTGGCCACTCTGATTCTCAACCTTCAGTCTGAACTTCTTGAATTCAGCAAACACCTTGTGTTTAAACTTTATGAGAGATACCCATGTCATTCTGGTGAACTCATCAACAAATGACACAAAATATTTTTCTCTCCAGTTGATGCTACTGGAAAAGGACCGCACACATCAGAATGCACTACTTTCAAGGCATGTTTTGCTCTTGGAGCTACTTCCGATGCAAATGGTAATCTTGGTTGCTTACCTTCCATGAACACCTTGCATGCTTTTTCAGGCTTCTTGATTGTAGGAATTCCATGTACCAGATTCTTTGATTTCAGATGCCCTAAACTTCTGAAATTCAGATGACCAATTCTTCTGTGCCATAACTCACTCTCCTTAACAACACTTGTTGCACTAAGACATTCAGAGTCTGCAGTTCTAACATTCACCTTGAATGTTATGTTCCTTCCCTGTTCTAAATCCGTAATCAGCTTCTAATTACAGTCATACAGCTTCAGAAGATTGTCCTTCATGGTAACTGAAAAACCTTTCTCAATCAGTTGTCCCACACTCATCAGATTGCTTTTCATGCCAGGTATATACCATACATTCTGGATCATTGTTGCTTTCCCATTGTTTAGAATGATTCTAACATTTCCCATACCTTCTGATTTGAGGTATTTATCATCAACACATATGATCTTTGTAATCTTCCCAGAGTCAAAATCAACCAACCATTTTTTGTTTCCAGTAAGATGGTTTGAACACCCTGTGTCCATATACCACCATTCTGATGAATTCAGATCATCAGGTTCAGAAGTCAACAATAGCACAGGTTTATCATTTGAATCTCCTCTGGCTATATTTGCTTCTTCTGACTTCCTTTCTTTGTTTGACCAGCAATCTTTGGCATATCTTTGGCATAGTGACCAAAGTTCATGCAACAGTAACACTGAACATTCTTCTTGTCAGACTTCTCCTTTCCCTTCTGGAAATTCTTCAGCCTATCAGAGTTTGAAGCTTCTGACCTTTGACCACCCTTAGTTTTCTTCCTGGCTTCTGACCAACTCTACTTCTGATACTTCTTACCAGAAGTTACTTTCAGAGCCTGTTGCTCTACTTTCCTCTCAGAAGTTCTCGCAGTCATACGTAACTCATGCGCCTCTAGACTACTTTGCAACTCTTCAACTCTCATGGTGTTCAGATATTTGGAATGTTCAATTGCTACCACAATATAATCAAACTGAGAAGTTAAAGATCTTAAGATCTTCTCAATGATTATTTTTTCAGAAAGAGTTTCTCCACAAGCTTTCATCTCATTAGTGATCAGAATCACTCTAGAGATGTACCCAGAAACCTTCTTATTGTCCTTTATGTTGAGATTCTCATATTTCTTTTTGAGAGACTGGAGCTTCACCTTCTTCACTGATGTGTCACCACCGTAACACTTGACCATTGTGTCTCATGTAGCCTTTGCTGTTTCAGAATCAACAATCTTCTCAAACACATTTGAATCCACAGATTGATGGATGTAGAACAACGCCTTCTGATCCTTCTTCCTTAGTGCCCTATGTGTTATCTTTTGTTCCTCTATTGCGTCTGCTTCTAACAGATCATAGCCATCGGTGACAAGATCTAACACATCTTGAGAACCAAATAACACGCGCATCTGGATCTTCCAACTATTTCAGTTTTTACAATCAAATACTGGAAGCTTGGAATGGACATTGCCGTCGTTTCCATTCATCTTCTACCTTGTGGAATTTACGCAGAAACTCAGAATAAGAATCAGTGTTTCCCAAATCCCCAGAATCAGAAACAATGATTATCACACAACACCTCACTGTTCTCTCGTGTTTCCCTTTTTCTCGTGGATTTCGAACCGGAGCTCTGATACCAATTGTTGGTGCACAAAGAAGAGATGAAAGACAAAAAAGAATATATTAAATGACGGCTACAAAATAAAGAATAATGATTTGCAATGAATTACATTGAGCTACCTCACTAGGCTATTTATACACAAAATAAAATCCTAAATATCCTCTAACAAAGATAAAAAAAGATATAATAATATCTTCTAAAAGATATTTCTAAAATATAGATTAAATCTAATATCCTTAACTAATTTTCTGATTTGTTATTAGGCTTTATATTTCATTTTTCTTCTTCTTTAAGCTTGTTTATTAGTATCGTATTTATTTGAGAATTTTATTTTATAAATTATGATATAAATTAATTGTATTAGGATGTTTAATAATATATTTATTTATTTTCTTAATTTAATATACGATTCAACTACAGTTTAATCGGTTGAACCGATTGAACCATAACTCATATTTTTTAACGATTTTTTTTTTCAGTTCGATTTTTAAAACATTGCTTTAACTTACATCAACTCTTGAATAAAATTTTTATATTTACATATATATTAGAAAAGAAAAATTTAATTGAATAATAATGCTTTTGTTTTTTATTTTTTAAAACAAAACAAATTAAACTATATTATTATCCAATAAATTTAATTTTAAAGTTGTTGGTTTTTCTATTGATTTATATTTTTTTCTGCTCCAAAACAACAGTGTTCATTGTTTTCCAATACAAGTTAAGAAAATGTATGCTAGAATAATAGGGTGGACTGTTACAAAAATAAAACAACATTTATTTTAAACTATTTTTGGTATATTAAAATGATTGTTAATCTAGAATATTTGGAAACAATTTTGTGGTGTTTTAAAAATAAAATAATCCTTATTTTTAAAAGCACCATACACTAAAATAATAGTTACTTAAAACATTCGAGAAGTCTAATACAAAAGAGATTTAAAAAAGTGACATAGAACAATTTGATAGACGTTATAAAAATAAAATAAAAAACACTTATTTAAAATCTTTTATATGTTAAATTAAATCATAATTAAATAAAATTTATATTTATTTATAATGGATCATTAAGAGATGCATTCATATTGAATTAAGAACCATACATAACTGAGACAAATATTATATATTTATCTAAAATTTTAAAATAATAAATAAATTATTTTATTTATAAAATATTCAACTTCTATTTTTTTAAATAATATAAAACTTACAATTCACAATTATACGTAATAATTTGTCACACTTAAATCACATCTAATCTATATAAAAATTTAAGACGGATCCTCTAATATCAAAGTTGTTAAAATGCCTTGACCATTTTAATAAGTGAGATCAATGCTTTTTAAGTGCATAAATTTGTTTATGCTTTGAATCTATAAGTTTTACCAACAAAACATTTTCAAACACATTTGTATAAATAATTCATAATTAGAGTTATATATAAGTCGAGTCAAATCAAACTCGTTTAAGTTCGATTCGATTTGATAAAAATAAGTCAAATGTAAAATTTGAGTTTGATTCAAATTTTTTTTTTAAATTTAAATTTGATTTGTTTAAAATTTACGAATAATTGAATTTAACTCGTAAGGTTCATTTCGTTAAGTTTAACTCACTTGTTTCACGAATTTATAAATTGTTTTTTAAATCTAATTATTTTATATAAATAATCTTTTAAATTAATATTTTTTTAAAAGAAAAATAGTAAAAGAAATAAAAATTATAAAATTGAAAAAGAATAGAAAATTGAAATTTAAAATAATTCTTTAAACTTGCTATGGGATAGTTCATAATCTAATGAGTTGAACAATGCATAGTTTAGATCTAGTTCATTTTAATAATAAATTTTAATATTTTGCTTATATTCAATTTATTTATTTATGAATTAAATTCAACGATTTAATTATCGAATCGATTTTCAAAATATGTTTGAATTGGTTATATTCATTATGAGCCTTTTCTACGTATTGGAGTGCAGATTTTCAAGACAACATGCTCGATTAAAAAAACTATGACATTATAACTGAATAAATATTATTAAAGTCTCATTTATATAAACTCAAACGAAGTTTCACATCAACTTCTCCATTACAAGCAGAAACACTAGGCACATTCATGAAAGTGCTAGATTCTCCTCTATAAGCTTTCTTTGGAAAAAGATTGAGAGTTTCTTGTAGAAACCGAGTTGTTGGAATTTGAATTTAGTTTCTTTCTCCTAGAACAATGAACATATGTAGGTGGTAGATGCTTGAAGAAGCTACGTGCATGGGATTGAACTTGTTGTGGTGTCTTGTTGCATACATAGTGCTTTGCTATTTTGGTCCATTTCCCTTTTCCATATTCAATCAGTCACATCACAAATAAGCTAACACAATAAAACAACACTTGCATTACATATCAATAATCAATATTAGAATTAAAAACGGATGAAAAAAGTTAAAATGATCGCAAATTAAGTAGAGAAGAAATGAGAGGTTGAAAAACCCAGTCAAAAAATATTAATAAAAATAAAATAGATATTAGAGGCGAAAATCAATAAAATTGAATATTAAATTAAACATCTTTAACATTTAATAACAAAATGAAAGAGATTTCACTTTTTCGGTCTAAGTTACAAACTTTTATTTTTATTTTTTTAAGTAAAGTGAGATAATGATTATAAAATATTAATTAAATTTAAGGTTGAGAGATACAATTACTCATATTCTTGTTGAGACCAAGGGACCCTCGACCTAGATCCATTTGAATATGATAAGGTATTTGATCCAGGTAATGGTTGGATAACCCTTGCAGCTAGGCTTCCACCGTGCATACCAAGTTGGAGCATAGTAGCGATCTCAAAGGTGTTATTGTTGAATCTCGACGGTGGTGGGACCATGAATCCTTGTGGCAGTGAGAACTACACATTAGTTTGGTGTTGATGATGATGTATATGATTGTGAAGATAAGGATTGGTAGACACATGACCAATGTTAAGGATCGATTATACATTAGACGAAGATATATGTGGTGATGGAGAGGAATCATGAGAGTTTGTAAGATCAATGATCTCAACACAAGACATTTTGGTTTAACAAATGTATAAGAAGATTTTAAGGATAAGTGACTCAAACTATGCATTGAAGTGTGCTTGTGTCTTGATTTATAGAACTCTGCAATAATTTTTTTTTTCAACTTACTAAAATGTGCATAATTCTTTTTGTTAAAATTACTTAGGTTATCACCTTAAATGTTAATTTATTTACTCTTTTGACATTATTTTATTAGATTACGTATATCTTTGAAATCACATTGAAACAATGTTGTGAGTGCATGTATCTGAAGCTCTATAATATAGATTCAAATTTTTTGTCCCCCATATCATGTCACAATAAAAGGTATATTTTCAAATGCTTGCAAATGATGTTTGACACACGTCATTAAAGATAAGAACTAATGGTCTAGAAAAAAAGAGTTAATCAAAGATAAGAATTAAATAAACTTTTAATTCAAAATAGAAAAAAAATGATAAACTAACGTCTTTTTACATCTATGTGCAACATCATCGTATAATTTCACAAAAAAGAGTGTACAATACACACAATCCATTTGTTTATTGCTTACCAAAATATAATCATATAAGGATCTATTATTCATATTATTATTTTTATGCAATGCTAATGTACAATATTTTATATGGTTGACATTTCATGACCAATTGTATATGTGATTTTAAAAGTACATTTAAGGTTGGGAAGTTGTAAAACATAATCCCTTCTTTCCTAGTATAATTGTCGAGGGAAACAATCAAAGCCTGAAGATGTATGTAATGAAGATGATAAAGATAAAGTTATATATGATAAGAAGGTCAAAAATATTATAGTGTTTGCCTTAGGGATGAGTGAACTCTTAAGGGTGTCAAATTGTCAAACAACTAAAGAAATATAAGAAACCTTTGAAATCACACGAATGAACGAACAAAAGAAGTAAAATGATCTTGACTAAACACACATTGTATCTTAAAAATATAAGATGTTTAGAATGTTACTAGGAGAAAAGATATTATACATGCAAAAGAGGTTCACCCATTTGAAAAACCGTTTAACTATTCTTGAAGTAATCTTCACCAACAATGAACTAAATTTAAAGGCCCTTGGATTCTTAACAAGAGCATGACAACCTAAAGTGAGGACGTTTTTAGAAAAGAAAATTCTATCCAAGATGACATTGGTTGAATTATTTGGAAGATTACAAGAACATGAAATAAAACTTGATCTACTGAAAAAATATGAAGGACATGAACATAAAGTTAGATCCCTTTTGTTCTGGACTAGTCTAATGACTAGAATTGGCCTAATCCGCTCCTGCCCTTGGCACGACCGATGACAGCAGCCTAGCATTCTATTCGACCACGACGCTTGTTATCTGGCCAATTATTCCTTACATACACGCCTTCCCAGATCAATGAATATCTTTTATCGGCCCAACATGAGTCAGGCAGACACCCGAGAAACGACAAAAACGGCCATCTGCATGTAATTCCCCTCCTCGAAACAAACAACTACTTACGAGCATACCTGCCCGTTTTAACCTAGTCCTAGCAGTTACCTATTTTTCCGGACCCACATATCTAGGCCTAAAAATAGGAACCAATGACTACGCGCTGGGGGAACATTATATAACCCCTCACATATGTGAGAGCCAGGTATTCACAATCTCACACCTTAAACTCTAATATTCTGGTTGTATCTCTTTGCTCCCACACTTACTTGATCTTCAGAGTGTCTTGCAGGTACAACCCACTTTTCTCCTCAACTTTTCAGCCAGTCAAAGATCATCCTTTGGCCCACTTGCAGGTTCTGATCAACTGGTAAGATCACCTTTCATTAAAGACTAAATAAAAATATTATGATAATGATCAAGAAGAAGAATCTCAATCTGGTTGTGACAAAGATGATAAAGATATAAAACTACTAATCAAGAAGTTTGAAAAATTATTTAAAATGAGACAAGACAATGAAACTTGGTCAAGGAAAGAAGTTTAATGAAGCACCAACTTCAAGACACAAAATCACGTGCTTTGAATGTGGAAACTAAGGACATATTAAAAGTGATTATCCTTTACTCGAAAATAAGAATGGATTCAACAACAAGAAACATAGAAAGTCAAGAAGTGTTGGAATTAAACCCAAAAATTTGAGTAGTTCTGAATCAATATTGATGAATAAGATTCAATCAACCCGATCGAAATCTCTTGTTATTCACTGTTCACTCGAATAAATCAACCAACCTTAGTTGCAAGATGATTTTGTGTAGAAATTAACAATAGAGAAACGAGAAAATATAATTAGGGAAGAAAAATAAGTTAGGGGTTGAACGAAGTAGGGGAAGAAGAAGAATTTCTACAGAGTTTCTCTCCACTCACAAACGGTGAATTTCCTATTCAATTATGCAATTGCATTGGTGATTACAATAATAGGGGTTAGTCCCTCTATTTATAGTTTTAGGTTAGCTTGCTCACAAGATAAAACCCAAATCTAAAAAATCCCAAAATACCTATTTAGGTCTAAGTCGAAATCCTATATTGAGGCTACCTCCTTCGACACTCTGACTACTAAACAACTCGACACACACAAAATAATTTCGACATACACATGACTTCGACACAAAGAACTACATTCTTAACTCACTGTTTGCAAGGGTTTCTCGCAAACAATCTCTATCCTATTACTTAAAGGTTACTTGCAGGACTGACTACAAATTCCTATACTTGGTGTTAAGTTTGGTATGGTGTTTTGGGATTAGAAAGCAGAAAAATGGTAAAAGATAAAGACAAAGATAAATCTGCGAGAAATGATAAACAAGACAGAAAAACTAGAAGTATATTTCTTTGAATTCAAATGTGGATGCAAGCATACATTTTTCAAAAGTGACTTGTTTTTCTCTTTGACATGGATACTTTGAGTGTTTTCTTACAATGTTACAAAATGTGACCCATAACATGAATGAAAAACTTTCTTAAATAATAAACAAAAAATAACGGCTATCAGACACGTTTGACGGTTATTACAACCACGTTTGGAGTTTGTGATGAAAAATTTCCTTTTTGAGCCTTCCCATGTTCTATTTGTAATCATCGGTGAAAACTGCTCCAATGTTGAACGCTTCACATATTTTCTTTTGGCTTTCGAAACTTTCATTGATTTGGCTCCTAGCTGACAAACTTCTAACCAATTCGACTGAGAATTTCATCATTTTCCTTTTTTTTTGAATTTTCGACTGCATGTCTATTCAATTGACATCAAGCGTCATGATGACCATTTTCTACGCCGTTACTCCCAACATTATTCCATCATTTCTCATGATGGCTCCTAGTTTATAGTGTATGGTATTTCAACCAACTCCACTAACTCTTTCACTTCTAAACTCGTATCAACCAAAGTTTTACCAGTGAGTTCCATTTGTCCATCATCGACAACTTTAGTCTGTCTATAAATAAACCTTCAGCTTCCTATTTTATCTTCTTCTTCCCCGTATCCATTCTCCTGCAAGTTTTTGTGAATATAAAAACTATTTCTTTTCTCTTTTTCCTTCCTATTCGCTACAATGGTTGCTTTCTCACTTACTCCGGTCAACATCGGTAACAACCCAATGGCTTTTAATCTCTGCGAGGAAGAAAACTTGATTATCATTCCTCAACCACCATCTACTGATGAACACAAGATCAAGAGATAGAAACAACATATTCTCATTCCGTTTGTTGTTGCAGAGAAACTCTTTGCCTTCCATGGACCTCTCCCAACTCAACAAAATCATCCAAGGCGAGTTCAAGAGTACTTTCCTTGTTTTACTTTTACAAATGCTTTGGTTTTTGATTCCGAAACACCGATTGATATTAGGTTCATGGAATCTAGGGTGTTTAGATCTATGCCTGCTCCAGGTAACAAAGCTTATCTCGCTTGATTATATAAATTCCAAGGACAAAAACAAGAGCAGTGGAAAGATGATGTCATCTTCGAAGCCATCCAGCTGTCGAGGAATGCTCATAGGATCGATACCAACTTGATCATAACTTTGATTTTCTTTTGGGAAGGCACGACTAACACGTTTAAACTTCCTTGTGGGATGTTAACACCCACTTGGTTCGACCTATCAGCCATTATTGGCCTTTCTCCTTTGGAAGAAACTTTGACCTAGCTGCTCAGACTGAAAACTCCTTTTATTTCGAACACACCAGTCTCAAACATTACATAACTGACCATCATGTCACCGATGATCGAGAAGTTTCCGACGAGGAACATATTTATTTCCTCACCCTTTGGATTTATTATTTCTTGTTTTTCCCAGGGTCCTTGCAAGTAGCCAAAGGATTCATCCCTCTGGCCATTCAAATTTATGAGGGTCGAAATATTTCCTTGGGAAAACTTTTGCTGGCCTATTTGTACCATACTCTAGGTGATGTTTCTTCTAGGGTGAAATCCCTCCCTACTTACGAGAAGGGGCTTAATATTTCAGATATGTTGTACCCCAAAATTTTCCCTCTCATTTTACTCAATGCATACTCCTAGAGATCCTCAATTTGCTCAAGTTTGCCAAAGAGTTGACCAGATAAACTCTCTCCTAAGGCACTGTGTCTCAAATTAGGGTTTCCATTTTCATCAAGATAGGTAAACTCCAAAGACCTCATATTCTCTCCATGGTCCTAATATATTCTCAAGACCCTCCATCTCAAATTTCAAGCACCGCATAAGAAGTTTGCTCAGTCAACTGCTCAGATGCTTGAGAATCGACTGTATTAGGTCAAAAGTCAACTGTGGCCCACATACAGTCAAACTTCAATATTTTTGGTAAACATCAACATTTTTAAGTGATATTCCTAATTTTATCAAAGGTTGATCATGAATCCCCAAGGAATGCTCCAAAATCATCAAAACCCAAAAGTTGTTAAATTAGGGTTTCTTAGTAAAAGTCAACCAAACTTTGACCAAGCATAACTTCCACATGCTTTATCAGAAATTTTCCATCCAAGGCTCATTTTGAATAGGATGCAATCCCCTATAACTCATTTTCATCCCACAAGTTCAA